GTTTTACTTGTATCTTCCCATTGTTATTCAGGAATGCACTTGATCAGTTTCATGGTTTAGCCAAGATTGTTTGAATCTTTTTTTAAGTATGGAGTTAATCAAATTTTAGCCCACAAAAACACACCTCTTTTCTGATAACCAATTTTGTTTATTATAAGAGGTACAAAGCATCAGTCAGTTTAAACCATGACGGAAATTATGTGACAGTGAACACTATTGTAAAGTTATATACTGAACTAATAGTGTGAAACAATGATGAGATCTCCGAGCTTCCTCTTCCATAACTAATACAACTACTACTGATGCTACTAACAGTATTCATAGTAGTAGTAGTAGTAGTACCCCACCTCAACTCATAATTTCAGTCTATTCGTGACAATCCATGAGGCAGATGAGAGTCGATTGCCATTATACGGTTAGGAAACTATCAATAAAGAGGAAATATTAAATCTTTCTAGAGAATTTATGATCATTGTAAATAGTTTACAAAATAATTCGAAAACATGGATCAGTGAATAAGATGAGACGGTCCATCAGGGTGCTTGGTACCTATGTGGTTGCGCAACAGGATTGAACTATACTATTCAGATTGTAGCGTTTAGGCCTATATGGTGTCTAGTTCTCTTGTGAAGCGGGATTGAGCTATGCTGTCTGGATTGCCACATGAAAATCTGGATGATGTCTGGTTCTCCTGAAAATCAATGTAAAATTACCCTGACCCACAAAGGTATATTTCATTATATAACCATGAATAAAATGAGAAAATAGTTGACAGCTTAATAGAACACAGATTTACTATTTACCGGTGTTTTAATTTTATCGATCACTCTTTCAGTTAGTTTCTATGTCAAATTATTCAAAGCTTATGAGAATCAAATTGTGAAAAGCCAAAAAAACCCCCATAGATTCTCATGAATATATTACTAAATTTCAATGATTAATGTAACTAAATTAAACGAAATTTGTCTAGTACCATTTCTATTCAAACAAACAGACAAACAGAATTCAATTTACAAAATAGAAGCAAACTTATTGGACATTGAATTTTGTAACAGTTTAATGGATCATTCTTTTAGAAAGAGAAAAAACAAAAGAAATACATAGCGCTATCTGTCTATTTAATCAGTTTAATGTATATCATATTAATGTCTGTTATAAATTTATATCCATATGTGTATAGTAAGACAGGCAAATAATAAGTCTGTCTAGAATGATAAATCGATTGGAAAATTCCAACCCAGCTACCCTTGAATTATATATATACATATATCAGAATGGAATTTGTGGAGACTCACACTGGTCACAACTTTTCACTAGAACTTCAGAAAATCATCTTGAAACGTAATCATTCATGGATTGATGGAAGTTAGACATAAACACCGTTGGATATCGGTCCACTGGTCTAGAGGTTAAACGTTAGCGAGTGAGACCTAAGATCATGGGTCCGTGAGCACGTACTACTGAGAAGTCCTATACTAGAATGAAACGGCCATTCAATGCTTTCAGGTTTTCAATGATAATCTAGCTTATATCGACTCATGAATTCAACTACATATATATGTTATGCATATCCTACGGTCGATTTGTTTAGATTTCATAAATTAATCTGTATTTAAAACAAGAAGTTGGTTATTTTGATTTTGTAAACAATGTTTAATTTGAAATGGGAGAAATGATGCATCATGACAGATTACTTGGTAGCTCTTGAATATTTATTTATTGTTTTTACAATGAAACGAAAGAGAGTAAATAGACCAAAGATTATCAATAACTGAAGTTAGTTTATACAAGGCTAAATATCATGGAATAATTAGCTGGTTAACTAGATATTCTAAAAATGTTTTACCACGTAGGTGATTAATGTGAATGAAATCAAAAAGTGATTTAGTTGTAAACAACATAGAACCTGGGACACATATGTGCACAGGTTCAAGTTACCACAACATATCACCACAGTGAAATTAAATTATGAAGACAGAACTCAGAGGGAGATTCATATATATATATTTGCTATTTTGGATAGTCAAATCATTACCAATTTCTCAAAGCATATTGGAAATTTTGGTAAAGTTAAAGTGTACTGCTGAACTAATAAGGATAGAGAAAAGGACTTCGAGGTCATGGAGCATATATCAGCATAGAATTAAGTTTATCGAGCTATATAAAATCAGGTTGTCAACAGTGGACGGTATAGTGACCAATATTTGTAAAGAAAACATCATTAGATATTTACAAGATGTTAGATTGCTGAATAAGATACTTATATGTGAATGCGGAAATAAAATGACGATGCATAGGTGCACAGAAACACGAAATAGAGTAATTTTTTACTGCAATATTTTCTAGGGTCAAGATTAAAGATTTGTGTTAGAGGTTAGGACTCGAGTAGGATAGGTTCAGGAGTAGGGTTTATGGCCAAAAGTAGGAGTTATGGCATAAACTAACTTCCATTTTTAATACTGAACCACAATCCAATTCTTAAACTTCAATATTTAGGGACCTATAGTCGAATTGTAAAGATTTATTCATCGCTCATAAACAATATATTCTCCTTAATTTTTTTATTTTGGAGTATAATCCATTTACATGCGGCTTTCCGATTGGCTAAAATGCGTCAAAATATCAAAGTCCTTCGGTAGTATCCTTTCCACTTACTAACACTTTTTTACTGAATGAATTTAGGAACTGAAGTTGAATTGTTGAATCAATGCATCCGTTTTGTATACCAAATCACGAAATTGAAGGATTAACAGCTTGATTTTTCTGAGGATTTTACACTTAATATAAACAAAGTGATTAATTGGTATTTAGTCTATTGATGATTAATACCGGGAAATATCATCTTCAAAACGAAAAAATACTTTTAATACGCTAAATTAAGTGTATAATTGGTGGGTCTGGTACATAGTCCAGTCAGTTTCGGGAATGGTTTATATCTAGCGGACTGGATTAGGCAAAAAGCTACTATACATAAGACCAATAAGGACTCAGAGTTGAATCGAGGTTGTTGCTGCTGGTCAACGCACCATTGGTTTAGCACAGAGACAAGGTCATATAGGTTGGCGATCTCGTCACATGATAATTGAGAGGGTCATAAGTCATAACAGTCAAATGTATTTACATATGAACTGGAGATAACCAAATGAGCAATACCCAACAAACTTCACTTGATTAGTATGCATTGCATCTGATCTAAAAACCGGTTGATGAAGTGTCTAAGAGAATTTTTCTCGTAAGTCAAACAGTAGAAAATCTAAAATACCCATTAAATACAATAACGTACTGAAGAGTAATTACTTTCTTCATATTAAGCAACAACTATAAGTAATATGATAATAAAAATTTAAGAAAATTATGCGATTTATTCTCATGATTGACTAGTTGAAAAGTAAAATTACTTCTAGATATTTTGCCAAAATTTAATGATTTTAGTTTCGAATCTCGCGAGGCAGGATCGTGGATGAGCATTGACGACCCATGGCCTTGGGTTCGGTTAACGTGCGCGGGTTAGCACCGTCAAGTAGTACCATGTTAAGACGAAATGACCATTCAGAGCTTGCAGGTTTTCATTAGCGGTCTAATATTGATCAGTCCATGATTTCAGTGGAACTCAACAATCTTCACAATCCTATAATCACAATTGCTAGTTTCTTCAAAACCATATAATAAGGACAATTAAATTTGCTATAGATAATTAATTATACAACAATAGTTAATAACTTCATTGTATGATAGCAGATCTCCATGTAAACAAGATCGTGCTTCTTTCTGAATACTTTTATTCATAATAAACGTTTATAAAACTAATTTAATTAGCAAAATGACAAGTCAACAAAAACTCAATCATCTTAATTGATGTAGCATGATAAAACACACTGATCAATTGTAGCGTTATTTATGCAACATGCGCACAATGTTCACAGCAATTTTTTTAAAGAAACGACGCATTACAGTCAATTCATAAAATAGTGTTTCTTTTGTATAGTCAAAATTTTGATTAGAATAAATAGACGGTTATTTTTTGTAGTGTAATTAATGTAATAAGTTGATAAATGCTAGAACTAACATTGAATATAGATTATTCATCTGTTCACCCACATCAACTTAATTAATCTCAATGTGAATCATGTATCAAGTGCAACTTTTCGTCATCTAACCTTGAGTTACACAGTCATAACAGAACTAGGTGATAATACCTTGGTTGTTTGAAAGACTGAGATTTAAACTGATGACCTATAACTATTAGTTGGAAAATGAGTGATTTAATTATGAAGATACTGTTGTCAGTAATGCAGACGATATGATGGGGCTTAGAGTTTAAATTGATTTTTAAACCAATAACCTACATGTTCAAATCCTGCTTCATCTAATACAATTTGAAAAACCAGGTAGCTTTGAAACAGTGCGGTTGAAAGCCAAATATATATACTCCGTAAACAGGCTAGACTAGTGAATGATCCCTAAATCTATTCGTATGGCAGAGAGCGGAGAGAACTCACTACACTTTTACAAATGCTCTCCGACGTCCATGCATTTATGATTTCTGACAGGAAAGTTTTACCTATTGACTTCACGCATTCGAATGTTCTTTAATGAAGTAAGAAAACAAAAAGTGAGAGTTAGCAAACAAACAAGGTTGATAGATACGAAGGGTGAGGTAGAAAACCCTAGCTTCAAACGAATGGTGCACATGGGCTCTGTGATCCTCAAAGAACCAATGGGGTACGAACTTATTTCCGTTATCCGCTACCACAGGGCGGCATCCTCTGTCTTTGATGCTCTGACTTGTGGACTAGATCTCTAGATTGAACGTTCGGTGGGTAGCCTCCCAAAAAACCACTGGCTTCGGTTTAGGCGTCCGAGGAATATCCAACTCCACACATACAGCTCTAATAATGGTTACTATAGAAAAAACCTTCCTCATTCTGTTTCATAATTCACTTAATCATTCATCGGTTATAAATACAAATCGAACAATACCAATTCTGAAAAGACGTGTACAAATGATAGGTATTTATTTTGATTAGATAAATATATACAACATAATATACATCGTCATCATCATTGATAAAATAAACATGATGACATTGCTGTTTTTCGAATGACACAATAAGAGTCTAAAAGAAAATTCAGCATACACTTTGGTTCCGATAATAAATTCTCTGTTAAGTAGTTATCATTGATGTTATTATTATCCTTATTACCAATTCTTTCTCGAATATCGTGTAGGGAAGTTAGTAATTTCTGAATAAAGAGAAAAAACAGCAGGGTGCATTGATGTGTATTATTTTCATGAATAAAAATGATTTAAAAGTTTGTTGGCATTTTCTATCCCTAACTTTTCAACTTTTTAGCATGTCAATCATACTACTTAATAATATTAAGTAACCACTTCGAATCTAATAAATTTTGACAGAATATCGAGTTGTGTTTTTCATTTATTGTACATTTTCAAGTATTTATATCAACTAATTCCATTCTCACTATTTATAATTGTACTTGCAACTTTTTAATACTTATAAGTTATTTCTAATTCTATTGTATTCGTTGGACGTTTTATTTCACCAATTTACACTTTTGACGTTTTTCATACTCGTCTTGATATCAGGTAGTCAAACGCAACGTAGAACCTGGTACGTGTGTATACACATCAGTTCAAGTTGGTTTACCCCAATAGCGCAGTGAGGTGAAATTGTCAGGACAAATACTGGAGTAGCACAGGTATTGACAGTATTAATTGTAATAGGAAGGATTAGGTATCGAAGATATGATTCAAGAAAGTATAAATCAGTGAAATAAAAAAAAATTATGAGGAATTCAGAAACTCAAGATCAAAGGGAGGACAAGGAGTGGGTGTGACTACGTCAATGCAAACGAAGCCATGTTAATCAGAGTCTCTAACTATTGTTTATGGAAAAGTAGTTTTCACTTACCTACATGGTTTAGTACAAGTCATTAACTTCGTAGACTGGTTACTCGTCCTAGTTTGGCCAACCTGAACTTTCTTCTGGCCTATTCCTACACCAAGCAAAATCCTTATTTAAGGTAGCTGGTGACTCAGAAGAAGTAACACATGTCCCAACCACATTGGTTGATGAAGATTTACTACCTCATTAATCCATTGGACATATTTACCTAGTACCTTAATATTCTTAACCCTAGCATTGGTTACTCGGTAGTCCAAAGTTTCACTGGCGATGCTTCGAAGATACCTATGATCAAATACTCAAATCGACTTACTGAATTATTGTATCGATTTAGTATAATAATATGGGCAGAAGTATACTTATCCTAAGCCGTAAGTTCTTTTCATTGTGTTTCAGGTTTGAAAAACCGATTTATCTACTTCTGTTAAGTAGCATCAATAGCCTTTATAGACACGAATAAGCGTGACTTACCAGTAGTACTTCGTAAATGAATTACTCATATCTAAAACTAACCATAGAATCAGGCCGTTTCTGTGCATTTTAGGCAGACCATATAGTCTTGGAGTAACAATTACTTAGACCTAAAGGAACTTAGTAAATAAGTTGTATTTAGATAATTAAATATTATATCAGATACGAATGACCTGCTCGAACATCTGGGTCTTCAGTTTTCAAAATATGTATTTACAACAAAGACATTCCTATTTCAGGTTTATGTCCATTAACTGCGTATAATTACATACTTTCACGAAATGTTAACAACCTATCAGAAATCTAATTACTGTGAAAGTTAAGAAGTACCATCACGGTGATTCCGCATATTCAACGATAGAAAGAATTATCATTGGATCAAGACTAACTGTAAATATTCACAGATGAATATGAATCGCAACTGGTAATCATTTTTTGATATCTTTTTTTAACCTTCACAAATTCAGTGCTTCGAAAATTGGGATTTTGTTGCAATTCCGCATATTTGATGCTGTTTTGATTTTTTTTACTGTAATCAAACATGTGGTATTGAATAAAGCAAGTATTATTGTTATCATAGACTACTCATTCAAAACAATAAGTAGTATCTAGTGGAATAAATGATGTCTAAACGACAAAAAAGATAAATATCATCATCGATAAGCAACAGTTACCTTTAAGACAGAACATTCTAATCTAAGTTGTTCAACAGTAGGACGTTTGAAAGTTTCTATCGAATTATTCTAAGCGAAGAAAAATAAAACCAAGGCACAGGAAAACAGAGATAATTTAAAATTTTCTTAAATAATCGATCAATAGTCACAAGGTTTTAGAAAAAGACAGTCAAACTACATCATAGTTAAAAGTAGCGAGTAGCGAGCAATATACTATGCTTTTTTACTCCTTAATGGTGTTCGAAATCTATCAATCAAAATGAAATCATTCAATTTGTGTGAGGGCTGGAATACTGTCCAGGAGCCCATACCAAAACAGGTGGTTTTCTCAGAGAGCCACTCCTCGAACCTTTGACCTACATGCCTAATGCACAAGGCGATGGAGCAACGTTAGGAGATGCGATCTCATGGTAGCCGGTGACAAACAAAAGGTTCATATGCCATTTGTTCCTTCAGGATTATGGAGCCTATATGCACCATTGATTTGGAGTCAGGCTTTTCCAACTCCCCTAGGTGGATCCTCCGTATACACTAACCCGGTTAAAGAGTGAGACATTCGCTTTTCGTCTTCTCAATTTCATAAACAATACCCCCGTTGCGATAAGGAATGAGTAGAACTTCCCTGGCAGTGGCTGTATACGCGTGGCCATGTGAGAGCATTTCTACAGAGAGAGCGAACTCTCCCCGTTCTCGACCGTACCATGGCATTTGGGGAAGTAGATTTATTGATAATATCTCAAACTGTGAAGCTTGGTGATCCTGCTTTAAATCCCACAGAAAATACCAGTGTTTTACAGGAATGTAGGTTTGCTTTACCAACAGTGGCAATTATCAAGAAACGTAGTTCAAGCAGAGTTTCCTGTCGACCATCTTATAAAATATCAGTGTGGAATTAAATCAAACAATAAAATCTGCAAGTAAAAACAACAATAGGTCAATACTAGTTGTTATAAGATAACAAGATCTACCTTCTGTAATGATATTTTCTGACGCAACTCAATAGCTCTATACATAGACCATAATGTTTGTAAACAAACAGATGATATTGTAAAACACCAGGTATTGGAACTGTAATTGTTGTTGTCTATATTATTTATCTCCACTTCTTTCTTGTTCTCTTGTTTAAAACTAAATGGATCTAAATTTAAAGACCATTCACATTTGACAGATTGATTTGTTAAACAACAATAAAATAATTGACCATTATTGCTATTATTATTATTATTTTTTACCATTAATTTAAGGAAATTTTCATGATGATTACTTGAACATGATATGGAATTTTTGAAAATATCTGTAGAAAGAAGGAAATAGGCGGAAAAAAGTGCAGATAAGTATCAACAAATAGTTGGCTACTTTTTATTGCATTGAATAAAAGAAAATTTATCAGAATGTAGGTTACTACTGGTTGATTTTTTTGAAGGCAGAAAAATGATAAAAGCCTATAAGTGTGTTAGATAATTTGCAAGGTAGTTGGCAAGAAATCCTCAGTTTTATGCTGGTTGGTATTCGTCAACAAGGGGTAATCTGTAATTTTAAGGGGACTGACAATTCCTATGGGATCAAAACCCACATTACCAAATTCCATAGTTTGGTCACATCGCAACTTCATCGATCTAATTCGTTTAAAACTTAAAGGACTAAAAAAACATAACTTTATTCACGCACTAACCTGTGATCAAACAATTGTAGCTGATAAGTGTCTTAGGTAAATGTCATTACTAAACAGTTGAATATCAAGTGAGTGATGCAGATCAAAAATATTGAGAAATTAGAGTAGTGTATGCCAGATTTAGCAAGAAATGTGTAAACTATGTAAAAAAAAGATTCAGAAGTTTAACAATGGTTTTCTTATTATCAGATTCTACAGTTTACATCAGGGAATGACAATAGCTAGATAATCTTTGAACGGATGAAGAAGTGGACAGTTGATTTGTTCTAGTACGAAATATTTCAGCAGTGAGTATTTACGACTTACGCCAAGGGTGAGCTCAGAACCTTCAGACTTCGTGGAAAGCGCCTGGCCTTCGAATTAATAGGCTGGAGTAATTCTGAAGTCTCACATCACGGCAAAAAAGCCTTCCAGTGCTTCTTGACTATTTTAGAGTCATAGTAAACTACAAAATAGTTTTTTATTTACTCCTATTTTCTGCCTTGAAATTATGTCAATTTTTGGTTAAAACATTAAATTTTTGGTGATACAATCCAGTAGCAAATATGGATTTATATACTCAACTTGGAGTTACAAGTATTATATCAAAGCAGATTAAGAAAGAGAGCTGACTAATTGAACTGAAAAAGAAAGAACAGAGTTTAGACTTCTGATATGTTAATGAGGAAGAGCAAGTAGATTAGAATCTAACCATGTCAGAAGTGATACGGATACATCATCATGACAAAAAAGCCGGTGACCGCGGTATACCACAAATTCTATAAAACTGGAAATGTTAACAGTTTAACCGCAACTCATTGAGGCCTAAAGTTATCGTGGTCGCCATAAGGTCCACGATTCGAACCTATGGGAATGTGGGCCATTGAAGAGATCCAAACTACATGAAAAAACAAGTTATCCAGTGATACATTTTGATTCTTAGTAACATCCATGGTGGTCTAGCTTTAATTGACACATGAACTCAACTATTAAATTACTACAATCTCCGCAAAACCCCTTTCTGACATTCTTATTTATTCACTTATTATTGGTTTAACACACAAAGTCTGATATAACTGAGCATCAAAATAAGTATGACCGATACAAAAATAAAGAGATGAAATTGTAATGACATAGAAGGGAAAGAGGGGAGTGTACAATCAAAAAATTAGTGGACAAAATTATTGTGTAATAATGGATACGACTCAGTTAAATTACAACCAAGGAAGTTCGTCTTACTTTTATAAAGTGTAAAAGAAACCTATAGCTAGTGTACCCCTGATTTCTATTCTGACTTATGCCAAATGATATCTTAAGCCACTGAATTATACCATCTTCCGAATTCGAACAAGGGGCAAATAGATACCAGACCTATACAGCTTTCTTTTATACCTCACCGATGTCATAAACTGACCAACTCTCAAACTTTCTCCAACTAATTTCAGAATCGGGAAAATAATGCACAAATTGAAATCTACTAACATAACATTCTGCTAAGTTTGAAGCTATCACGCGTTCACTTGATCGGCGAACGAGAACAAGACTCGGTGACTAAAGACCAGTAAGCTAGCTATTGATGTATCTCAGCCCCATTAACTAGAGGGAGAAGTTCAAGCTTGGAATGGGAAGGATATTCTGCCAAACAGCCAGAAACGAGTGATAACAACAAACACAATTCAAAACGTATATATACAGAGCAAAACCGTCCTTGGGGAGAGTTACCAAATAGCATACTAAAAGACGCAACGGACCAATAGCACTTAAGATATTTCCAAGTGGGAAATACGACATGTAGGTGACAAGAGCGCCTTTGGCGCGAAAACTTCAAATTTTCTAAATAAAATTACAAAATTAGGTCCTTTCCCAAGTGATTTCTGGGGATCTAACGTCCCCAACACATTCATAGCACATATTCAGGCAATGAAAACAATCACTTGTTGAATTTTTGTCACCGTGCTTAAACTATACATTATCAAACCTTAACTATGATTAATATGATCCAGTTACTGGATGTTAGTAATCTCCTTTAGAGATAGTCTAGCTTAGATTAATTCATCATTTAAAGAGAGAGAAAATAAAAACAACTATCAAATTAGCCAATTTTTTACAAAAGAAAACTACAATAATCTACCTGATATGATGGATTGAAATACTGAATCATTAATATTAATATGCATTGTATGAATGAACTTCATTGGATTATCATTTACAACATTATTCAATAATGAATTCGTTTTTATTTGATATAGAAAATGTATACAATCAAGGTAACTATGACCAATGTTAACAAAAATTGGTGAATGATTACATATTTTTATAGTTTCAAATGATTTTTGATTGAAACAATCTAAATATTGTGGTATTATTGGTGGTTGAAATTCTAATTGAATATTCACTTGAAGTGTACTACCGTCAATTGAGAATATTCTATTAGTATTAGTAGTAGTAGGCAATAGATTTTGTTGAAAAAGTGAAGAATTATTCAATTCAGTTGTATGAAATATTTGTAACCAATTTGTTGATGGAATGATACAACGTCGTAATCTGCAAAGTTTTTGAGAAAAGTATTAATTATTTTATTACAGTGATATTTTAATGGATATCTATATATATTAAGTGATCATTGAGCAGTTACCCATGTCATGTATGTCTATGTCTTATTGATCAATAGAATTCAATCAGAGTTAATGATTAAGCAAAGATGACATTGGTCATTGATCAATCAATTGTAAATACATCTCAGTCCTATAGGATATCAAACGTGGTAACGTAGATTGAGAAGATAGGTGACGAGAATTTGAATAGCACAAGGAGCATCAGTTCTCTCAAAATTTAAAATACTGTTTGGTGATAAGTACTAATTAGCATTACTAGTGGTTCAGTGGTTTTAAAGCGTTCAACCTTTAGACACTAAGTAGCAGGTCCGAGTCCCGCTCTACCTATTTCCATCTGAATAAATAGTTAGTACTACAAACACTTACACTCAGTGTTGTTCGAATTCAAGTAAACGAATCTGTACTTTTTTTCTGAGTAAAAAACTAATATATGTTAACGTTAGGTTGAATATGAAAGCATATCATTAAGAACCATAGACCGAAAACAACTGAGGCGATAATTATTACTTTAATTAATAGACTATTGCGTAACGTGATTCATGTGGCTAAATCTCTGGATGAGCTATGTTGAAATACTGCAGAAATCATAAAATGAGTTAGTGAATTTGTACTATCCATTTGTAGACATTAGATGGGGGCTTATCGACGTAAGTGCTTGACTTTCAACTAACAGGTCACAGAGTCGAATCCCATTCCAACTACTTTATTATTCCAGCATTGTCTGTACTCGCGCTCGACACAATGTGTGAATCAAAGCCCAGTACAAAATGGTGTATTTGATAAATGAATATGTATACTACTTTTAATTATGATATTGTTTAAAACCAGAACAAAGTAAAAATATACGTAGGAAGGTTACAACAAAACAGCTACAATATACTCACAAACGTTGTACGTTTGTGTATTTAACGGAAGACTATTCGACTAAGGGGTTAGAGAGATAAAGAAAAGTAGTCGCCTAATTTATTTAGATATACATATTGGTCTTTGACTCTTTAGTTCCAATTTTTTACAAATATACCTCTATACATTTTAGGGAAGCATTATCAGAGGTAGTGAGCACCAAAAGTATGAGGACTTTCTTTAAACCCATTTACCAGGTACAGGTTCAAGATTGCCCAAAATGAAGTGGAGAAGGGTTGAAGCCTGGAAGTTAGTAACTGAAAATCGAACGACTTAACAACTGAACCACAGACACATCGCAAAAATTAGACGGATTTTAAGGTCGAAGATTTACTTTAATGAAAGAAAGTGTTCTCCTTGCTCTACAAATCCGGAAATATTAATCACCAACACATAATACTACTGAATTGTCATACATAATAGCCATACTAAACAGTACAAATAACAAAGCCATCGGAACTTCAGTAAACTAAAATTGATTTTGAAGATCATCTGATTTCCAAAAACTACTTGCAGTATATTTTCCTAAAGTGTTGATGTTACCTCCTATTCACCGAAATTCTTCCAAGCTGTGTTGTTCATTTCTATCAACCACGGTTAAGAAGGTCTTTATTTATTGGTTTTAATATGCTTTCTGGAAAAATTTATCGAAATTAAGAAATAACCTATTAGTAAAATTCTTTGCTCTATTATAGGTTGATAAACAGATAGCATGGGATTTTAAATATTACGAATAGTCAGTCAATCAATCAATCAACATCTGTCTATGAACGATGTAGAACTTGGCACAGTGATGTGTGGGAGAGGATGATAGTGATTGTTTGACAGGTATGAGTTACATATGCTCCTACCCCTACTATTATTGTGATTGTTGTCGGTTTTCGTGTGGAAATATATTTACGTTCTAGTCCGGCTAGTTACATATTCTCGATGTGAGTTGTGTTGAGGCCTTGTAGAATAGACACTGGGAGGGTGTCTAGTGTAGATGTTCGTCTAAGGCAAATTAGCATTCCATTTGTGTAGGCGGAAAAATCAAGCATTATAACACAAAGAAGTAATATTGGGGGAAGAGCTGTCACACTTTACACCAGTGCAATATAAGAAGCTAACAAAATGAGATAGTCATGATACTTCATGCATATTTCTAGCATGTGGTTTACACTACAGACCGAATTTTAGCTACATAAACATGGAAGGTAACACCGTAATTTATGAACCAACCAATCAGATTTAAGATAACAATTCTTGTATTTTAGCGTAAAATTTATTTCTCTATACAGCTTAATAGCATTTTGGCATTATAGTCGATGACAGTTCGTGATGAAAACCTTAATTATAATTCCTAACCCTGACTTTCAACTGTAAATTTCGATTCTAGTTTTTCAGACCTTCTTTAGACCCTAGTAGGTAGGTAAATTTTCTCAAGGTCAATTTGGCATTGCTCAAAGGTCGTTCACGAACAAAAGCCTCACCAAATGAAAAACCATAAAGAACTGGATAGTATTTCTTCCTACCACAGAACTCCCTAGAAGTGTTCCAACTGAATGGTCAAGTTAGACGTTCGCAACGAGATCTGAAGGTCTTGATCTTTAGGGAGGTCATTGATATGCACTGTTTTCAAATGTGTTTTTTTAGTTATAGTATAATTACTTAAAGATGTAAATAATATATGGATTTAACGTTCTTCACAAACCTTCGCTATGCTAACATTGACAATACATTGTATAACACAATTCACTCACTTGGAATTATCACTATTGATATTTATCGGTGATGAAAACCACAATTCTCTATACGTGTAAACAAGTGAATGATGATTGTTGACGACGTTCTTATCGGCATCTGTGATTAAATCCTTCATATTCGATGATGATGATAATGATGACGATTCACAGTCTGTTCTAACAGCTTCCATTTTGATAACAATGTATAAATATTTCTCAAGATAATCAGATATGATATAATTCTTTGTATTATTCATGTACGATTTGAATAAAATAATTTGTGCCAGATTATTTAGACTAATTTTGTTTAAATCGGAATGAAATAATAATTCATTAATATTCTCTCCTAGATTGTCATCAGTTGTTGTATTCTTTGAATAAGAATTAATAAGAAGGAAGAGTATTCATACAAAGAAGGCAAATAATAGTAATGGTAATATTAATAATAATAATTCCATGCAATCACTTCTTTTCATAAATCTGAAAAAGGTGAGAATGACAGGGTATATGCAGAATATAATGAATCCCTACATTATATTTCGTTGCTTTTTTTAACTATACTACACAATTCAAAATGTACAATGTGACTTAAATGATTTCTTTCAAGATATCATAATTCTGCTCTCCTAATAAGTGTTATTTTATTTTTATAGCAATAAGGTAAATAGTTTATTTGTCAGTGATTATTCCATACTCTGAACGGAACACGATGACTGACTCATGTTCAACTAGTCATGGTTGATGAGTGAATCAATAAGATGCTAGAAGACTGATAAGTAAAATCGATATCTACACTCGGAGGTTTTTAATACAGATAAGTCTGCTACTGAAAAGCTTAGTACTACCTACTTAACTGCTTTTTATAACCCTCAACTACATCCACACGTCAACCCGAACAACAAAGAAAAGGGGGGAAATGTAAGAGCATGACTTCAAAGCTAGTTCATGTATAGAAAATCGAGTGTAATTATAGTTGTGTGAGTCTAGATTTTTATAACATACTAAATATAGTAGTGGTATAAGTAATTATCCAATCAAAAACGTGACAAGTGATCCTTCATTTTTTTGGATGTTTTTGATGTGTTTCTATCTAATGTTGGATGGATAAAACATTTCTTGGCGTTTCCTAAGCTACTGGAAACTTTGAAAAAGGATGTTATGGACACTCCAACAACTATGGTATATTTTGTTGTTTCAGCTTATTGGAATATATTAAGTCGCTCCCCCTAAATACGTGTATTCATTCGGGAAGAGTTGAATTAAATATAACTGACCAAGGGATAACTAGATATTTTGATTGAGATCATGAATCGATCAAAATTAGACCACCTGGAAGCACAGGATGGCCATTTCATCCTAGTGTGAGACTCCTCGGGGGTGCACATCCACGATCCCGCTCGCGTGACCCGAGGCCAGGACATTCGACATCATGCACAGACGCCTAACCTCTAGACCACTGAGCCGGCATCCAACGGTGTTATTGTTTAACTCCAAATAATTCACGAAATTGCGCAACCAACTTCCATTGTTCGAGATAGATACCTGTCCCTACCTGACACATATTCGCTCCACTGGTCACGGCTTCTCACTAGAACTCCGAGAATTACCTCTCCAAGCTAGTCACTAGTGAACACATGGTAATTATCAGCATGAGGGATCGTGGATGCACTGTCGAGGAGTCCCATATTAGGACGAAACGGTCGTCCAGTGCTTCCAGGTTTTTAATGGTGGTCTAATCTTGGTCGATTCATGATCGCAATCAATAACTCAATAATCTCCACAACTCCCTACTGAAGATAAATAGATAGTCAAAAAACACAATGCAGGTGTAAAGCCTCATTTCCACAGAAAAGTTGAGTTCAGTAACAAGATGAATTAAATACATCATAGTTATATTAAGTAACAGCTATTCAACTAACACTGACTTTTCATTCAATCTGATAGAATAAAGAAAATTATATTATGGTAGGCTAAAAGGTATGAAATATCTCTTTTCAATACATAAATACCTATTTCAAATTTATATTTGACAAAGGTCAATTTACCTGGACTGTGATATCAACAATCAATTCCAAAGGTGATTGGTTTCCTGACTCATGATCTGCACGACATGATGTCAAATAGACTTTACAATCTAAAGGGAACTGAGACCAATCATTTTTGTCTGTATTCACTTTAAAATTACTCAAACGGTTTAGTAGAAGTAAACATGCTAAATAACTTTTCATTTGATATTTTGTTTTGATTAATTTCATGAATGTTTGATTCAATTGTTGTTCTGTATAATTAACAGGAGCATCAATTTCAGATTTAGATGATAATAGATCAACTAGACGTGTCTTGCAACCTTGTGAATCAACACTACCCAAATGACCATCTAGTTTAGAGAAAGACAAAAACGGATAGAGAAAACTGAGAATTAAAACAGTGAGGGCACAATAATAACAACATTAATACAAATACGACATACCGATGAAAAAAGTTTAATGCGATTTGGCAATTAAGTTCAATGTTTTATAAAAGTAGACTTTGAGAGTGATTGTTTTGTTATTTGGTTGAAAATAGTAAGTGGGAAACCCTTAGATATAGGCTTCAAACTAGTTAGCATTCTTCAGCAAAGTGTGCATGCAATCACAAGGGAACTGATACACCCTGTGGAGTTGGATCCGCACTACCCAGCTTCATGATCTGAAGGATTATAATTGATCTATTCGAGCTCAAAACTCTATCCATCAAGCTGTATTATGTTCACTAGTCTAATTGATTTAACATCGTGTGGACTGTTTGACTGACTGTTTTACGTGAGGGTTAGGTGTTACTACCCGGATCTCTAGAATAGAGTACGTAGAGTGGACTTTGAAACTAGGATTAAGGACTTTAACCATTTGGTCCCTGGAAAAATATGAAATCTCGAACAATTTGACAAAGGATATTTGTTATATTTTTCTAATCTACTCACTTGCCATCGTAGATGGTTTCATGAAGGACTGATCTGGAGCGGAACAGTCGTTGCCAAAGACTATGAATAGATATTAATCGCTTTATATAGTGAATTGATTGGAGCTGGAAATTTGCGTCGTTGGGTCCCTCAACCCAGTGGTCTGATGGTTAAGGGCTGGGCATGAGACTTGAAGGTTGTGGATCCAATCCTCGGGTGCGTCGCAGTATGCACTGCTGAAAAGTTTCGTTCTAGGGTGAAACGGTCGTTTAGTGCTCCTTGATTATTAGTGGTACTCCAAATGACATCACCCGTGACGAATGCCACCTACAATACAAACTGGTTTGATTGTCACGACAGGCAGACTGGACGAAAATATTCATATAGCAACTACGACCAGTAGCAATTTGAAGTTATGCAATACGACGTTGATCACCATATTTAACCTATTACACTCCAGGTTTTCTAGACCTTCAGTCACTGAATGTATGGAGTGAGATGATATCTTGGTTGCTCATAGTTTTGTTCCAATCTACTACAAAATCAGTTAGCATCCCGTAATGGTGTAGATGATGGTTAGTAAATATACTGGACATGCCTAAATACCGCCTTTGTGAAGATTATACAGATTCATTGTCTTTACCTAGTACCCTACACCTGTCCTCAGTACCACTCACTTCATAGTTCAATTACATGTGGGCGATGCTTTGAATCAATTTACGATCAAAAACGAATAATGTGAGCATATATAACAAAAAGTATAAAGTTTGAAAATCTTGGAGCTATAGAGAAACGATGAAAAAGAGCCTACACTAGAAAATATTACCTTGTGAAATGTATTGGCTCTTACCAACTTACGTTACTTGTAGTATGGGAGAGACGTTCATCTACCAACTAAAAACGAGTACAGTGTAAGGAAGTTTGCTCTCTTCTGTTTTGTGAGTGTAAAGCATTGCCCATTAGAACAGAGGGTATACGTAGGTTGTTAGCATTTAATCATAGATGTCTTCGAAGCATTGCACACGTATGTTGAGACCACCGAGTGAGCAAGGCTGACGTTAGGACGTAAAGATGGCAAACCGATTCATAAGGCAGTGAATATTCATTCACCGAGGTGGTTAGAACATGTATAACGTATGGCCAAACACCACCTCTTTCGATGAGCGATGTAATCTGGTGTAGGAATAGGTTGAGATAAAGCTAGGGGCGATCAAAAGAAAATGTAGCATCGGTCCATGAAGTCATTGAAAACTGAGCTGGACTATGATGAGGACTACCTGGATGTGATCCTAACGATAATTACAATCAGTGACTGGGAGAATTGAGTGACATCGATTAGAATTATTTGAAATGGTGTGGATAAATTCACTTTGTACTACGTCAGATCCTAAGTCTCAACACGTTCCTGTACTTTTTCCCTCTTTTATAACTAATCGTTTTACTACTACTGATACTGTTACTACTTCTACCACTATGCGATTTTGCTTGATTAATTCATCATACTGAGATAATGTTGTGTGGCAACGTGAACTGATGCACATATGCGAAAGGTTGTACATTGCATATGATTGACTGAATTATGAACAAAATAAGTTGTGTTTTTTTAATTTGGACGACCTATATGTGTTTACAGACACAAACACACACAGAAAACAAAGAACACTGAAGAAATCTAGAAAGTACATATTAAACAACTTGAAACAAAAAATCAAAAACCAAATAAAAATTTATCGACCAACCAGCCAAACGAGTAAAGTCGCAAACATTAAGATTACGCCATCTTGGGCACGATTTTATCCATTGCTCAATATTATTCACAGGTGATAAATTAATAGGTAATCGAGGAAAATTAGTTGGTTGACATAACAAATTCCATTTCGTTGATTCACTATTATTATTGTCATTACATTGTCTTAATTGTAAACTGAAATGTACTGATGTTAAATGTCCACTTTGAGTGATCACATGGAGCCATGAACCTTGTGCACGACATTTTGTAATTGGATCAGGTGATTGGGGTAAACTGAATTCAGTGATGTTTAAAACTCTGTATTGCAAGCAAATTAAATTTATCAAAATAAATAAATAAACATTTGGGGAAATATGAACAGTGGTAAAGTGTAGAAAACTAAGTTCATGGGATACGAATACCAATAACAATCATATTCTAACCAGTGGCTAATTTCTAGGGTTAATTGCCGGAGCTTTAGTGAAGAGCTGTCATTAGTGGCGGGAAGATATTTCGCGTGTGACAGTCGCTCATAAGTGGTAGTGGGTGATATATGCACAATATCGCAAACTGATTCAAGTCAGAGATGTAAGCTACTCGAGACCAACTCCGTGGTCTAACCTTAACCCAGTGAGATTATGAATTTACACTACGAGGATGAAACTGACATTTAGTGGTCGTTTGACGAAGATAATCAGTCCGTGTTTTGAAATATAAAAAAAAGAATATGAAGAAAATTGATTGGAGGAATTTTAGGGATCACGTGAAGCCTAGCAACATTGTAATAGATGATATAACAATGTTCCACAAGTTACGGAGAGTAAAAGTATAAGAGGGATTGTGATCAGTTCAATTTGAAATAATCTGGCTTATTCCGTTATTAATATCTTTTGACTAAAAGTTGATCAGTTTTAGCTGGCTTATGTGCATCTTGTACGGACTTCCCCGAAATAGCCACTATATATTATTTATTTATTTTATTTTAAAACATAGATATTATTACAAGGAGGCACCAAATACATATGCGCCACACAGATCTCATTTGATATGTGTGAGGGCTGTGATACTGCCCGTGTGCCCAAACCGAAGCAGGTGGTTTTCTTAGGGGGCCACACCCGAAGCTTTCGACCTGAAAGTCTGATCCACAAGACAGTGGAGCAACGTAAGGAGACGCAGTCCCATGGTAACCGGTGACCAACGATTAGTTCATACGCCACTTCTTCCTTCAGGATTATGGAGCCCATGTGCACCATTGGTTTGGAATCAGGGTTTTCCAACTCCCCTAGGTGGACTCTCCGTGTCCACCAACCCGGTTGAAGCGCCGGACGTTCGCTTTTCGTCCTCTCAATTTCGTAAACAGCACCCCCACCACGAGAAGGTAGTGAGGACTTCCCTGGCAGAGGCTATATACGCGTGGCCATGTGAGAGCACTTCGAGAGGGAGCTGACTCTCTCCACTCTCGGCCGTACCAGGGCATTTGGGGGCAATAGCCACTATGACACAGGTTGATATAGAATAGTTCATGTGTATAGCAGCGGGATCCAGGAGGCGCGTTTTGTCCTATTTAGAAATCGTCGGTTGAATGTACCCGTATCCTGTTGCACAAGTGAGTAGCTACCTGGACCCAGAAACTAAGTGGATAACGTAATGGCGTTTGAAGAGAAAGGTATTGGGTTCGAGTCTCCGGGTGAACATCAACTCTGGGTACGGCTGGGGGTAGGGGGTCCGCACTCCCTCTAGAAATGCTCACATGGTTATACGTATATGGCCATTGCCAAGGGAGTTTTACTCACAGCCTTCGCGCGACGGGGTATTGTTTACGAAATTGAGGACAAAAATCGAATGTCCGGCACTGAAACCGGGTTAATGTATACGGAGGGTCCACCTAGATGAATTGAAAAACTCTGATTTCAAAACAATGGTGCACATGAGCCTCAGAATCCTGAGGGAACACATGGAATATGAATATATTATTGGTGACCGGCTAGTATTGAACTGCATCTTCCAACGTTGCCCCACTACCTTGTGGATTAGACGTGTAAGTGAAATGCTCGGAGAATGGTCTCGTCAGAAAATTATCTGTGACGGTTTGGGTATCCGAACAGTAATACAGTCCACACAAAAACTGAATGATAATCGCTTTCTGTGGCACATACATATGTTGGTCCTCGCTTGTATCAATGATTGTGTTCAAATAGACAGATAAGGTACACGCAGCTAATGAGTTCCAAATAAGACGATATGCGCTTCCTGGATTTCACTGCTAGCCAGATTCCATATATTCTATACAAATTGTGATTAGTGTTCACGCACATTTCTAAACCTGAGTTCACAGCCTTCCACGAGAAATAAGCTAGTTATAAACCCATTATGGAAAAATTAAACTTACTTTGTCTTAACAGTATTTAGATTTTTCTCTATTTACACGACTGAGTGTACCACATCGAAGCAAATGGTTACGAATCGCTACAGCTAATGGAGATCAACAACTTTACCAAATGATTGATTTTATTTATATGTTACTTAGATTTATAAGAACTTGAAGTTCATGGAATTAATCATCTATGTGTACGGCCCTGGATGTACACTGTTTAACAGTTCCAAACCATGGCGAACACAAATGTCAAGTACCGTTTGGGTATTGTGAGTGGCTTTGTGACGGTCGGTATATCCGCAAAATTTACCTTTAAAAATGATATAAATCTTTTCAGAAAAGACACTACTAAATGGCAAGTTCAAACCGCCCAGTAGTACACATTAATAATCTAAATAAATTGTGATAATCGAATTCAGAATACTGATTATGACCACTGTTTATTTATAAGTAATATTGATGGGAAATAGAAGGATATGAAGAACAAACTTATGACGATGATAAAAATTGAAACATGACCAGTGAAAAAGTCAGTTATTCACTCATATAGGCAACGCAGAGCTTGAGAAATGTGGATCGTTTGAAGTTGCTACAACGTATCAGGACAATAAAATAAAATTAAGATAAATATCAGAGTAGTAGTATCTATTGACAGTAAAAAAAGGTCTAGGCATAATACTTATGATTTGAAAATGACTTTTCGAAACAAAAAACACAAAATCATTTTGAAAATCAGGATCTAAGGGTCAATGTAATGAGTGCTACTGTGACATCGTAGTCGATTTTGAGCCGTATCGCTCAACATGAACCACAGGTCACGATAGATACGCGAACCCCAACCAGATAGTCTGGATCTACTAACGTGGTTTAGATCGATATTTAATGATTTCATAGATTAATGTTACGTTTAGGTTCAGCCTCTATCAGCATTTTTCCAATCTACTCCTAGCACTAGCCGAAATTGCGCCTCGAATTAGGAAACAAACAAATAAGAACTAACTTTTTGTTACAAACATCTGATGAATCGAACCAAACACCTACACCTTCACCATCTTTTGTTAAACCAATAAGCAGATCATTCACAGTATTGTTTTCGATTTGAGTACAACGATTATCTGCTAATGTATTGTCAATTATACGAGACAGTGTAGAATTAGCTGCAGGATTACGAATAAAAGCCCAAGTCACGATTGGCTTACAACATGACAATGGAAATGCAACTGAACAATGAAGTTTTTTATTCATAGTTGTATACCAAATAGCATAGACTAGTCCATTTGGAAGGCTACATAATCGAACCAGATCAGGATCGCATCTAATATCTTCATTTTCAATATCACAAAGAATATTAATAAAACGTTTAGAACAGGTGAATATTGATGAGGATGATGACGATGTGAAGGATAAATCAGCAAATACTGTCGAAGTTTGATGTTGTGGATAAGTAATTATATTCATAAAGTGATTTTTATCACAAAGAGTACAGATATGAACTGGTATATTCTTCGTCTCTGACAAATTTGTGCTCGATGAGGGATACTGGTATGGAATTTCCAAATTAATGCAACTAGACAACCTGAAATTAAATTTTACACAAAATAAAGTATTATTAACAGAGATTTTTTCATGAATAATATCAATTCTGTTTGGTAAATCAATAAAACAAAAGGATTCTAAATTATAGAAGTAATGTGTACAAGAGATGGGCTATTGAGCTTTAGTTTTAATTCCCAATCCCAACATAAATTATCAGTACAAACCAGATAAACGTATATATTCCACTGTTAGTAGGATAAAGCTCTAACGTTTGCATGCTGTGATCAAGCTAAAGTCGAAACGAGCTGATTGGCCCACTTTCAACCGATCAGAGCTAGTGGACGAATTGAGATGTTAGAAGATTCTTGTGTAAACTTCAATGTCTTTACAACTGAATATTTGTTGTTCACGTTATATATATATATATATATATATATATATATATATATATATATATATCGGTTGTCAGTTATTTTTCTGATCTGAGAGGAGTCTAGTGAAGTATCATGGTCAAGGAATACTAGACAATGAATGATGACACTTACTGACGGCTGGTTGTTGTTAGATGCTACTAGACTACTATGACAAAACATTTGAAATAATTATCACATAGTACAGTCTGTGATGTAAAAAATAAAACTCAACAGTCTCCACAAACCGGTCATGATAATATTAATAATAATGTACCCATTAGTGATTACTTCCGAGGGGTGATTATTCTTGGAGTTCTATTGAGAAGCCGTCACCAATGAAGTTTGATTATGTCACGTGTGAGGCAGTTATCAATTGACGATATTGGAAAATGTTTGTGCAAGATCGTTAGTTGATTAAAGTTAAAGATGTAAAGCACTAAATGTGGACTCAGTAGTTTAAAGGTGAAACGCTCGTCACAAGTTCAGTTTGTGATGAAAGTTGAACAGTTGAATATCTCAAAAATGGTTATCATCAACAAAAATTAAAATGAAGAACTTCCGTTGGCTATTTGAAGCAATAAAACGCTCAACATTGTGGCCATTAATGTCATACTGCTTAGCTTAAAAGTTGGTGATGAAATTTAGTGAAAATGTAGAACACGAACACCATTTCGATCACAACATACAAATTAACATAGTTTGTTTATAGGGACCTACTTAGATGGTGGTTGGAAGTAGTCAACAGGAAACCCTGGACCCGGGTCTCGTGCTATTTGGCACTCGTCAGCAAGGTCTACCTGTAATCTTGAGGGAACTGGTTCGATCCCGTGTTACCCAACTTCACGGTCAGAGACGTTACCACTGAGCTATCCGGGCCGCGACCGACCTCCTGTAGGACTGAGATGTAATCACAATTGATTGATCACTGGGTGGTGATCAATGTCATGTGTCAAGTCCCGGGTCCAGGGTTTCCCGTTGATTACCTCCAACCACCATCTTATCTCAACATAGTGCACGCAGTGTCGAGTCACCTAGACTGGTGGCTACATTGCAACATGGTTGATAGCATTCGATCTGCACTAATAAGGACTTAACACACATGACACTTATCACAACCCAGTGATCAATCAATTGTGATAGGGACCTACTGCCTGGATGGAATAGAAATGAAGTCTAGCTATGTAAATTAAGACTAACTAAACTGGATTTAAGTTTGACTTTGTGGTCACATATAAATATATTAAGCTGCTGATCCCGTTTTTATCAACTAATAACTAAGCCTCTAACCCTATCTAATAATTTGATTTCATTTGGGAAGAAGACATAGTTGGTATGTTTGTTTGATGAAATAAATGTAGCTTGGTGAATATTTTAAATAATACGACAATTAGAAATATAAAATTTATCATTAAAATGAAGAGATATAAGTAGCGATTGTATTTCAATGTTCACACGGCGGAGCGCTGAATTGTGAACTAAAAGGAAATTGATTCAAACCTAATTGTGATCAAAGTATTCGTTCAGCAGAAGTTGGTCATTTCTGTATACATAAGAAACAAGTTTGTCGACTTGAACATATATATATATATAACTGAAAATACAATAAAAATAGACTTACAAAGAGTTTTCATGTAATTCAATGGTTAAGCATAGACTTTGAGTAGAAGCTTGGTGAACACCTTCAATACGTATAGTTTCATTGCCTATTGTCTCAGTAGCAAGTACCATTAAGTCATGCTTTTCTGTATTATTTTTCTTTGCATCTGCTAAGAATTAATACTAAGAACATTATTGTATCATTCCATAAAAAACCATGAAAAACGGCAAGGTTAGGAGGATTATTCGCTTACTTGTTTACTTATTTATAACGTTAAAAGAATTCTTGATGTAGTAGCTCACTAAGAAACAAATTACCGTAAACGAATCAATAAAAAAGTAGAAAAGTGGGTTAGCGGTAAAGGGATTCGGTTCAGGAAATCAAATGGTAACAGTAGTCTCTGAACTTAAAGTGTGGCTCATACTCAACTATCTAGTGAATGATTTAACTAGTTAACAGTCAATAAATAATAAAAGATATTGTGTAACTAAAGAAATGGCTATAGGGAGTGATATGATCGAGTGGACTGTCCACATCCTGGATGTCTCATCCGCATTGGTGGTACCATGAATTTGTATGAAAAAATACAGTACTAACTGGGCGTCCAACAACTAACGTACATTTTGTCCCGTACAGGGATAGTTAATAAAATTAGACAGTTAGTTAGACTAAGAAATAATAATAACTGAAAAAAACGAAAATCTTGTACTACAATTTAAAAATGTTTTTTAAGAGGTGGCTGTTGTGACTGAACAATCAGGCATGTGACGATTCGTATTGATTACTGTGTACAAATTGCAAATACTATTTTTGTAGAGTTTTAAAATATATTCGCATGTTATAAAACTATTTAAAAGCTATTGACAAACAAAGCTGCATCAAGATTTCAACACTTAACCTTCATTAAGTGGGTTTACAGTTCAAGTTTGGTACTGTATGTTTATTTATATGTACATCAGATCTATGGAACGATCGTGAGTAGTGGTGGGTAACAAAAGTAAAAGAGATAGAAAGGCAGCGGCTGTAGGTAACACCAGACAGTTTTTCAGACTAATTAAAAAGACAATTGTTTTTAATATAATGGGAATTTTCCGGAGGGTAATTAAAAAGAAACTGGAATTAAGAAGTCAAGTGTAAGTGAGGCGATCTCGGGAAAAGATGACACTCTTATCTGCTCTCAGCCCGAACGTTTAGGACGATGGGTGGAAAACTTTAAGGAGCAATTAAACTGGCCTCCAGCTACTCTACGAACACCCACCATTCCCAAATAGCCTGAATGGATTATTGAAGTAGACCCCTGGACTCTAATTGAAGTTCAAAAAGCTATAGCTAATCTGAAACGAGGAAGAGCAACTGGTCTAGACGGATTGGCTCCAGAGGTCATTAAATATGGCGGTCCAGTTTTAGCAACCATGTCGACTAATATTTTAGCTAAAATCTGCGAACTGGATGTAATCCCATCTGAATGGTCGCGACCACTGGTTGTCCCAATATACACGAAGGGGTATATAGCATCTAAAGAGAGATTGATTATGAATAGTGATCTTTGGATAGTTTGATACTATATTTGATCACATAAAATATGTAATGAGTTAAAAATTCACGTCATTACTATTGACCAAAAAGCTACGCATGTATTTGGCTAGGTAAACACTTTTATGGTATAAAACGTCCTAAAACCAGTGTCCACATTTTGCTTCATCAATTGATGTTATTGAAATGAGTAAAAAACGTCTTTTAAAACTAGAACAGTTTAAATCTAACAATGACTCGCTGGCATGCTCACTGTAATCCATTTACCTGTCTCAACTAAAACAGTAGATTTATCAAAATCGGAAAACAAATCTTCCATTGACGTATCCATATTTAAACAATTAGACCTAAATGGAAACAAAATTTTAGTTTAAAAAATATTTTGTTGAATAACTTAATAGGCAGCATAGCAGAGCATATGAGCTTAATTAGGTAGATGAGCAGAAATCAGTACACACATTGAGTAACTCATAAACATATGAGACTTAAGATAATCTTGATTTATAACGAACAAAACTTGTAGTTTGTAGTTTTTAGTTTTATTTTACGCTTAAATGGGTTGTTTTATTTTCCAGATAGACCAGTTAATTTATTCTTCCTGAGTCACATCTTGACTTCGTCAACTACTTGCTCATAAACTGGACTGCTTTTAATTAGGAGTGTCTCTTTTACCCCCATTTATCACATGTCTTTAGCTTATTTTTGTTTGACTATAACTAGTCACGCTTTATCAATATGAGTTAGCCCGCTTGACTTCTTCGCTTCTCTTTGATTTTTCTGCTTCCCATTATAATGTCTGAGTAAACGACTGCATGAAATAAACCAATCCAACTTAATCCATATTACCGCCGCCACACAAGCAGGGTTAGCCCAGGTATAGTATACGGAATTAAACGGGAGATTTATGTTCCCGGCACACTCATTCATACAAAATGGAGTCGGATCAACAGGTACCCTACGTTTTTAATTGAAAAAAGTGTTCAGAATATTGAGACAACTCCATTAAAAGAAACGTTTGAACAAACTCGATGCCTTTAACGAAGCTTTTATTAATTTATCCACAACGTAGAACACTTATTTAAGCAGTCGATTTTCAAACATTGAGTTAGATGTCAGAATAATTCAGTTGGGGTGATAAAGTAGCCCTCCATTGAAATATTACCTAAAGTGTAGTCCACGAACAAATACCTGCGCACTGAGTAACTGGACCATACTATCCAGCTCTAAACGATCACGTCGTAAAGTGGATCTTTATGATTTAATTTTAAGTCAAAACGCCAAGTATGCTGATAATGCCTAATACAAAAATCTACACAGTATAACCACAATCTACCGGCCTCATAAAATGAATCAACAACGTGGTCGTGAGAATAATGTGTATACAAATGATCTGTAAGAAATATACTATTTTCAATCATTGAATTAAGGGAGTTCAGAGTATCTAGGACGACCAGATTAACTAAAGTCCTGAACTATATAATATCTAGTTGACTTTTAGTCTGTGAAATTAGTTTTGAAGCTGCATTCCAAAATAATATAGTGCACCGCTACTACTTAAGTAGTAGGTTTTCAAACAAACAAGAGTGGGGAAATCAAGGCAAACTTAAAGGACATACAACTGGATAATAAAAGCGCCAGTAACACTGGCTGCAGCCAAGTACTACAATATATACGGATGTTTGGAAAGCGTACAGCCTCTTCCATAGGCTTGGTTATGTGCATCGTGTCGTTATCGACAAGTAGCAGTTTGTGTACTCAACAACCGAAGTGCACATAAACAATATAGAAACTGTATGGTCGAGGCTAAAAGTTTTCGAAACTTTATCATGGCTCCGGAGTCATCAGTGAAAGGTCATAAGCGCGTTAGGAAATTCTGACTAACTTTTGAATATTACCTGAAGTTGCTGCTGCCAGTCAATGTCGTAAAAATTGAGGTTACCGATGATGAAATGACCAATTTAACAAGAAGACCAGAGGTTAGCTTCAATACTTATACTCACTACGCCGCATGTAAACCAAAGAAGGCGCACTATACTAATTAAGCGCTTCTCTAAATGATATGGTAATTTCACCCAATCGAACATGATGACTTGAATTATATTCACCAACCAATAAAATTTTCAGTACTACGAGACAAAGTTCTGTTTAAAAGCAACTGCCAGAAAAAGGGAGCGTCTATAAGAGCTCTATGAACGGATTTCCAGGCACTGAGATATATATTTTGTTAATGGTTATTACAGATATTCAGTGCTTGAAAACGCTGTTGTCGGTGAATGCCCTAGAAACAAAGATAAGAGATGTGTAGTATGGATCATCGATCGTGATTTAGCGTTGATACGGGTCCGAGTGTCTCCAGCTAGGGTCTATCCAACAGAATGACTGTGGTCAAATTCATTGTCGAAAATTAAAGCACTGTCTATTTAAGGGATTTAAGTGCCATCACAATGCTCTGCTTCTTAACAATCACAATAAGTTTTAGGAATGTGAGAGTGTGTCCCCAATATTTTTTCCTTACGTTACTACGGATAGAAAAGTGAATTCTTTTCTGCCTTTCGTAATAACGGTTTAAAAGTAATTAAATCAACTCCCATCGTGTAGTTCTGTGTCTGGCAATGAATATAAGCGCAATTTTTGATCAGGATACTTACTAAACTAAGAGTTGACGAAGTCTTGTAACTATGTTATCTTATACCTGAAAATTCCACATGTATTTTTAGTTTGACAACACTTTAAGCGGTAACACTCTCTACCAGCCAGTCACTCAGCTAAAACGTAGGACCAGGCACATATATGCATCGGTCCAAGTTGCCATACCTCATTAACACAACAAGATGAATACCGGATTCATAGAAGTAGTAAATTCAGTGGTAGTAATATATGAAAGAAAGATTGAATATAAGGATATATTACAGGAAGAAAGAATTATTTCGTAGAAAGAAAGATATGATGCGATTTTAATCTCATAGTTTAAGGGCAGATAGAGAGTCTATACACCTACGCCATTTTGTTCGATTCTGAGCCATGTCACCAAGAGTCTCCAACCATTGGTTACGATAGTCGCGCGGACCGCGGCCAAGTAGTCTGCATCTACCAACATGGCTCAGACTAGAAGTTAGTGACTTTGTGGACTGATGCCACGTTTTGGTTTGGCCACCCCTAACTTTCTTCCAACCATCCCCAACACCAGTTAGCATTGCACGTCGTGGTAATCGGTGTTCAGGCATACGTAACACCTGGACCAACCTTTTCAGTCGCTGAAGATTCACAACATCATCAACTGGTTTCCACAATTCTTAAATACTTTATGTAACCCCACTATTACTTACCCGGTGATCTCAGCAGATGCGAGCAATATTTCTAAAACATCTGTCGTCAAGTACTAGTAACCCACGAGTATCTTCTACACTTAATGGTCACCTGACCGTTTCTGCTACGTTGACGTGGTGGCCGGCCTTGCCTATCGCAGTGAACCAATCTAACTATACTGGCAAGAACAGTTGTTCCTCAAGCTCCTACCATGCCAGACAAGTAGGTTGACGAGCGGTAAGACTAAAAGCAGTAAACCCAAGGTCCGAGGGCGAAGTCGTACTTTTGACTGTACAGAGGTGTGATGGCAGTAAGGTGTTTCCTTCAGTCAACCAACATGACAGCGATCCTGCCCTCCTACAAGAAGGGGTGTGGTTAGAGAAGGTAGAACCTAAAAATGCACACCTCACCTTATCCCACGGCTTACGCTCTCCGGTGGTAAGGTTCCAACAAATATGTAGCAAGGTCGTGTGTGACCGACCTCAAGCAGTTTTTCCTTTAGCACTGCGGTAGCGTTCTCAGGTCACTAAGACCACGTTTAATCTAATTTTTATTTCAGGTACCCCTATAGGAACACCTTCGCGGTGTAGGCAGCCGGGAAATGACAACAGCCCTCACCATTTTACCAGCACTTAAGATTACTACCAATAATCAATCTCCCTTTAGATGCTATATTAGTCAAACTTATCCCTCTGTGGTTTTCATAGGATTATTTTTACCCCTTCGTGTATATTGGGACAACCAGTGATTGCGGCCATTCACATGGGGTTAGTTCACCTGGTTGCTAAAACTGGACCGCCATATTTAATGACCTCTGGAGCCAATCCATCTGGACCAGTTGCTCTTCCTCGTTTCAGATTAGCTATAGCTTTTTGAATTTCAATATCCGAAAGTACGAAAAAATATCACATTATATAAAAGTTAAGCAAGTGGTATACGATGTTCCAAAAAGGAACAGACTCACAATTTGCAAGTTGGTGTACCAGATCACGTCGGCTCACCAATGAAGATGCCTCAAGTATTTTTATTTTGACAACACCAACCAGTAACACCTTCTATAATCAAAACGTGCCCACCCAGTGAAATGAAAAGTCTGAAGCGCGGAGGTTTGAAGATACATTTGATAGGTTATTAGCATATCAAGAAGTGACTGGTCTAAACTGATTATTGTTTGCAGGAGACATTGTGCACGGCGTTCCCACTCGTGATCTGGTGCGAAAGCGTGACCGAGCGCTTCCATCTAGGTGACTCCATTAAATCTAGTGTGATCAGCATCAAATATTGAAGACTTGCAAGCCTATTGATTTTGGGGATTTATTTAGCGCTTCATACCTTCCATAAATAAAACCAAGCAAATCCAAGGTCATTCACCTCAGGAGTACATGTGCTATAAATACTGAGCGTTGGTAATAATGATTGGTTATATAGTTATATATTATTTAACAAATCTATATTAAGACCAGGTGAAACAAGTCTAAATTTCAAATTCATCTGTCGAAGACCTACAGAACTATTTATTTTGGGGGCTTATTTACTCGCTGAAAAATTCCCGTTATATTAAAACATAATTATATGAACGAAGAGTATTTTTCTCAGTAATTTCTCACCAGGTTCTATAATTATTATCTGGATTTATAATTGTAGAACCTGGTGAGAAATTATTGAAAATAGTTTAGTTACCGCTACAAATTCATTTGGTGAATAGACACCTCTTACCAAACAAATTGAATCAATTTTATTTAATTACATTTAGGTTGTGTATTGAGGTAGTAAGGCCGTTTTCTAAGGCTTTTTTATTTGACATTTATGGTCAAGAGACCGTTTACTCGTGAACGACTATTTCATTTGATTCTCTATTGATTTAAGACATACGGTTTACGAGACTTTCGACTTCAGAAAACCAGCTGGTGCAGAAATGAGTCTAAGTCTACAAATGTATGCCAACTTTGTTGTGGATGAATGCCTAAACTTAATTTGCTGAGCTCTTGATGCTATTTTTGAGTGTCAGTTTGCAAAGAGGACACTCCTTAGTCCAGTTGTGGATTTGAATGAAACCATCAAGGTGGACTTCAATAGCGTAGAGGATAACAAACACACAGATGCAGGAGTGGTTTCAAGAAAAAAGAAATTTTACGTTGAGAAGAAACAAATTGTAGGGAGCTCTTAGATATAAGAGTTGATGGTTTCAGATCCAGATTCCCATAACAATGAAATCGGACTATGGAAGCGTGAGCGATGTCGATGATGTGATCGGGAGCTATAATAAAGTCGATGATTGGCTTATGGTTGTGCTCTTGAAAAGAAAATAAGGAGACAGGGTGAAACCCTAACGTCTGACTTCAAATCAAACTGCTGGGATAACATTTCAGGACTAAACCTTCACAGCTTCTTAGTAGGGTCCTCACTGATAGATCAGTTACCTTTTGTAAATTTGGAGAATCCTGTGAAAAGGAACCAAAGGCTAGATTTGAACATGACCTAAGCCTTATTACGTCCTTAATAAGCAAGTTACTTCCAGAAAGAGCGGCATCAGTTCACATCTATAAGCTCCACAGAATAAAACAAAAAGCGGGTTCCGAAAGTATACAGAAATGCCGACTCTCAAGAGTTACCTTACCTTCTGGTGAAAGAAGAAACTCAACGCTGGAAAACACATGAAAACTGACTGGATCCGGAATATATGCCAGTGATGATGGAGGAGCTCAAAACAGTTGCAGATACAGAAAAACCTGTTGTCGTTGCCATATTAGAAGCGCGATCAACATCAGAAGTGCGTGATATGTAAGAGGCAAGACATTGAATTAGTCGTAGTATACATAAGTCCAGCATATGTATTGGATGTCTTCCTCCTAAATAAACCCAAATTCTTATCAAACAGATGTAAAAGCTTTATGATAGGTGACCTTAATGTACCCACGGGCATCAACAGAAGTGGCATGGGCTAGTTTTATGCAGTTTTCAAGTAACTCAAACTTTTACGCCCTAAACAGTCTCAAAGGAGAAGAAACACGGCCATCCCCACATAGACCGTGATACCCAACGTCTACTAATACAAAAGAAGAAATGTTGTAACATCGTTATCAGCCTTGGGACAGAAATTACGAAAGAACGTTACAGGTCTTTACGAATGACCAGATACAAATACAAGGTCGAAAATTCGTCTGCTTATTGTGGACTTCGATCGCAACGATTAATTTAAGGCCCTTCACATTTTAGACACGGAGCAGTCACCAGGACCGGTTGGACTGTGCTCTTAAATCGTGAG